ATATATATATATATATATATTCCTCCTATATCTCTAGTAGTTATATCATTTTTTTTTAAATGTTTAGACTGTTGTAAATATTCACGCTTCATAACAAAGTGAAGCCATTTTTCACAATGGTTAAGGGCGGTTTAAAACTTAAATTATAATTTGAATTTATTAACAGGAATTTGAAGAAATTTTTTTTATAATTTAAACTCTTTATGAGATAAATACTACTGTAAAAATATTACGATTTGAGTTTAAGTGTATCTTTTAAATAAGTTCTAAAACCTATAATTGTTACTCTTTCTTAAGTACTTCTACATTTTTAATCCAACAAAAAGAAAAGAAAAAAAACAGTTTTGAAATTTATTTTCTTTTCCAAAATATGTTCTATTTTGTTTTTTTGGCCGGAAATGTTGTCCAAACTCTATTGTCGTAACTGAAATTAAGCGAAAATATATGACGTGTTAAAAAAAACCAAAAGAAAAAAAAAAGGGCAACTCAAAAGAGGCAGGTAATTAACATTAATTAACTGTTGAGACAGCTAATTTAATCAATTCTCAAATTCCATGTGGGACCTAAAAGCAACGGTCATGATGATCTCTGCCTCGATCAGGAATTATGGGGTCGCACTCTCTGAGAGCTGGCATTGTGGGTCCCACTATTACTCATATCCGTTGAACGTATTTTTCAATCATTATTGGCAGGCGCCGAACGGACAATATTTACGTTGATAATAATAATAATAAAAGTAAAAACAAAAAAGCCAAAAATTCAAAACAAGAAAAAAAGAGAAACGTTTGTAGAGAGAGAAAGAGAAGAGAGAGAGAGAAGAATCATCAGCTTGCGGTGGAATTTGCTGAAATTGCGGTACATTGCTTTTTGCATGGCTTAGAAGACAAATTTTCCATTTTCTCCAGCCTCTGGAGACTGCTTTTTCAGGCAATTGATCCGAGGTATTTTCTGTTAATTTTTTTCGTATTTTTATATTTTTTTCTTGGGAAAAATGGAAAATTTTCAAACGATTCAAGACGAAATCGTCGAATTCTGATTCCTCTTTGGCGTTTTCATCGAATTCGGAAGGTACATTGTTTGTTTCTTAGGATTTTTTTATTGAATTTCCCAGAAAGTTGATCGAGTTTTGGGAAATTTTTCAATTTTGCGAATCGCAGGCTGGTTTTTCGTTTGAGCCTTTCTTTCCCTTCCGAGGAATCAGAGCCAGAGGTTTTTCTTCGTTGGTTTGGAAGGGAAAGAAAGCGACGTCGTTTTTGAAGCCCAATTGGATCTCTGAAGGCATATATATAAATATACAAAACATACACATATATATACACACACACACACACATTGGTATATTTGAGACGAAAATGAGCGCCATTGAAGGTATGATTTCGAGGCGAGTTTTGCCTGCTTGTGGAAGTCTTTGTTTTTTCTGCCCGGCGATGCGGGCCCGATCTAGGCAGCCTGTGAAGAGGTACAAGAAGCTCATTGCCGACATTTTTCCTCGTAACCAGGTTTGTGTTTCTGGGAATTTTGTAGTTTCGTGGTTTTCAATGACAAGATATATAACTGGTAATAGTTACTTGTGTGTGAAGTCTTGTGTAATTAGTCCATTGTTTGACTTGATGCAATTAAGGCTAAGTAGTCAAATGATTTTAGCAATGTGGCCTGAAAATGGGAACAACTTGCTGCTCTATTGATCTGTATGTTACTGTTGAGATAATAGAATTTATTTCATTTTTCTAAAGAATTTGGATAAGTAAATGAAAGCACGCATACTCATTCTATTGTAGCTTTGCAACTAATGATCGCATTATGGAAATAAGAGGATATCGTTGCCAATAGTGATAGTGGAATCCGTTATCAGTCCCTGAAACTTTTACAGCATTGTGAAATATCTGTACCTATTATTTAGTTTACCGCAATAGGAGGACATATTAGTCAAATAAAGGTGTAAATGAAGGGATCGAAAGGAAACAAATTTGATCCTGCAGTGGATACCACAAGGGGAGGCTTCCTATATCCATAAAAGGAGTGGTTCAAAGAAAACCCACCCGGATAGTCCTGATCTTTGCTCGATTCTCTTGTGTCATGTATATAAGCCAGGGAAACAATTGAATACTTCTTTTCTAAAAAAGCTTACCTTATATTTATTATGAGTTTTAGAAGGGGCAAGTGGTACTTGAACCAACATAATTCAAGTAACTGATGCTTTGCTAATCACCGTGTTAGCTTGTGTGGCATTCATCAGTATGCATAGAAATGACAATTGGTTGGACTGCTGTATTAATTGACACTGGAAAAGCCATTGAGTAGTTAGAAGTGCACAACTTCATATTATGAGCTTGCAGCTGTGCAAATGAGTCTTAAAAGTCAAATAAAGGTGTACATGAAGGGATCGAAAGGAAACAATTTTGATCCTGCAGTGGAAACCACAAGGGAAGGCTTCCTATACCCATAAAAGGAGTGGTCCAAAGAGAACCCACCCGGATAGTCCTGATCTTTGCTCGATTCTCTTGTGTTACGTATATAAGCCAGGGAAACAATTGAATACTGCTTTTCTAAAAAAGCCTACCTTATATTTAATATGAGTTTTAGAAAGGGCAAGTGGTACTTGAATCAACATAATTCAAGTACCTGATGCTTTGCTAATCACTGTGTTAGCCTATGTGGCATTCAGCAGTATGCATAGAAATGACAATTGGTTGGGCTGTTGTATTAATTGACACTGGAAAAGCCACTGAGAAGTTAGAAGTCCACAACTTCATATTACGAGTTTGCAGCTGTGCAAATGAGTGTTAAAAGTTTACCCTAGCGTCAGCTACCATATTAAAAGCTATGCCTTGTTGCTCAAGCTGTTAGGCGTTTATGGGCATTATACTTGGTGAAAGATAGAGACTATCGTACAAATTGTTTAGGGCTGGCCTCTGCCTTGTATGTTTGTGGTAAACATTGAGAATATTTATGACATCTTCTATGATTAGCTGTGTGCAAACTGCATTATTTTATGTCCTTTTGTTTTCTTGAACAACTTCAGAACTTCCTTATTTCAATCAGAGCTTAAAACTGTTCTTAGGTGCTATTGGACTAATCCTCTGCCACTGTTTTTCCAAACAGTGGCTTAACCTCAAGTGTCATTGTTTTTTTATAAGAAATTTATACAGGTTTCACTTCTCATGCAACCAATGTAGATGGATCTTTCTTTCTTTGTTTTTAAATAATATTTGGATGTGAAATTGGGCACCTTCATCAGGAAAGCATTATTGATTGATGTGTCTTGTTGTGGTTATTTATTTTTGATACATTTTTTTTTTCTTGATGTCACTCTCGCTTCCCTCTTTGTAATTACTTATGTTTGTTTTTTCCTTTTTTTTGGGTGTTCTTTTGCAAATTTTGACAGGAAGAAGGACTTAATGATAGGAAGATTGGAAAATTATGTGAATATGCAACTAAAAATCCTCTGCGCATTCCAAAGGTACGATTTGTGCTGAAAAGTTCAATTATAATGTGTATTATGGGAACTAAAAAATGTATTATGGTGGGAAAAAGAAGGAAACTGGATGCTTTATGTAGGTTTCAAGGCAGAAAAGAAAGTATTTCTCATTGATTATTTTCTGTACAAGGGTTACAATATTTATAGGAAAAACCTCCCACAAAATAAGGAAAGTAAATCCCCTGATTGAGGGAGCTCCTTATCTCAAGGAATCTCTTTAAAAATTGAAAGAATAAACTACTTTCTTAATTTATCTCTATGCCCTTATTAACCAGATTGGTACATATCCGGCCCATAACTTTAGTCTACTTTTCTAATTTCTACACTCCCCCTGAAGTTGGTGCATAGATATCTGTCATGCCCAACTTGCTAATGAGAAACTCGAAGTTTGGTTTGAACAGTCCTTTAGTAAGAACATCAGCCACTTGTTGTGAGGTTGGAACAAATGGCATACTGATGGCTCCAACTTCAATCTTTTCCTTTATAAAGTGCCGGTCAATCTCAACATGTTTTGTTCTGTCATGTTGGACTGGATTGTGGGCAATGCTAATTGCTGCCTTGTTGTCACAATACAGCTTCATAGGCATAACCACAGGTCTTCTTAGTTCCTCCAAAATCCGTTTGAGTCATATCATCTCACAGATCTCTTGTGCCATTGATCTATATTCTGCTTCTGCACTACTTTAGGCTACTACGTCTTGTTTCTTACTCCACGTTACTAAGTTTCCCCACACAAACGTACAATAGCCAGATGTGGATCTTCTATCTGAAGTAGACCCTATCTAATCTGCATCTGTATAAGCTTCAATACCTCGTTGTTCATTCTTTTCAAAAAACAATCATTTTCCCGGTGAATTCTTCAAGTACCTTAGGATGCGGTAGGCTGCTTCTAGATGTTCTTCATGAGGAGAGTGCTTGAACTGGCTTACTAGGCTAACAACGAATGCTATGTCTGGTCGTGTGATAGGTAGATTAGCTTCCCAACTAGTTTCTGGTACCGTGCCATATCCACTGGTCTTCCCTCTTTGTTTCCAAACTTCTGATTCGGATCAATTGGCGTTTCTGCAGGACGACATCCACTCACCCCTGTCTCTTTAAGTAGATCAATCATGTACTTCCTTTGTGAAACTGCAATCCCCTTTCTTGATCGGGCTACTTCCATACCAAGGAAATACTTTACTGAGCCTAGATCTTTAATCTCGAATTTAGAAGCCAGACTCTGCTTTAGGCGATTCATCTCAGCAATATCATCCCCAGTAAGAATAATGTCATCAACATATACTATAAGGACAGCTACCTTCCCATTAGAGTGCCTTGTGAACATAGTATGGTCTGCTTGCCCTTGGTCATATCCCTGTCTCTTCACAAATTGAGTAAATCTCTCGAACCACGCTTTTGGAGATTGTTTTAAACCATATAAGGACTTTTTCAACTTGCATACCCGGTTTCCATATTTTTCCTCAAACCCTGGAGGTGGATCCATGTAGACTTCTTCATCCAGATTGCCATTAAGGAAAGCATTCTTCACATCTAGTTGTTGTAGTGACCAGTCTAAGTTACATGCGAGTGTTAGGAGTACCCTGATAGTACTGAGCTTTGCAACTGGAGCAAAGTTTTCAAGGTAGTCAATTCTATACGTTTGAGTAAACCCTTTGGCTACTAAACGTGCCTTTTATCTCTCCAAAGATCCATCTGATCTGTATTTTGTTGTGAATACCCATTTGTAGCCAACAATCTTCTTCTCTTTCGGCAGTTCTGTTACTTTCCAAGTTCCATTCTTTTCAAGGGCCTTCATTTCTTCGAGAACAACCTCCTTCCATTTAGGAACCTTTAGAGCATCCTGCACATTCTTTGGAGTCTCCACACTAGACAATTGAGAGGTAAACGCAGAAAAAATAGGTGACAAGTTTTTGTAGGACACAAAGCTAGACATTTATACAACTTCTGACCCCTTTGCGTTTAGCAATAGGGAGATCAGGCTCAGGTATATTGGGCTCGGATTCGGGATTAGACAAGTTTGTGTGGATAGGTACTGTTTGAGGATTACCTAGAGTAGAGTTGGGGATGTCCTGTGATGAAGGATCCGGACTGATCTGTGGTTCAGGCTCTTGGCAGTGTTGGTTAGTTTCAGTCTCTACTCATTGCTTCCGGTTCTTCCTCCTGTAAACCAACAGTTTTTTTTGTTCCTGTTTGTTCCCTATTTGCATCTTTATTAATGTTATGAGATGACTCTATGGACTCAGAGTTCAAGTTTTCATTATTTAAGTCACTCAACTCCATCTTTATTAGGAAATTTGGACTCTTTGTTTCGGTTTCTATTTCAAAGTTTGAATCTTCATTTACTCTCTCCCCCTGAAGACGAGTGCCAAAAAATGGTTGAGACTCAAAGAAGGTAACATCCATTGTGACAAACATTTTGAGATTTTATGTCATAGCACTTGTACCCCTTTTTTATTCGGAGCATATCCTACAAATATACACTTCCTGGTGCGGGGATCTAACTTTCCCCTATTTTGACTGTGAATATGAACGAATGCACTACACCCAAACATTCTCAGGGGTAAGTCTGTTGTCAACTTAGAGGTAGGAAATGTATTCTTGAAGACATTTAGAGGTGTTTGATAATTTAGAACTTTGGTAGGCATGCAATTTATTAGGCATGTTGCAGTTAGGAGTGCCTCTCCCCAAAGGTACTTAGGAACACCATTAGTAAATAATAATGCTCTAGTGACTTCTAGAAGGTGTTTGTTTTTTCTTTCCGCTATCCCATTTTGTTGGGGTGTATCTGAACATGAACTTTGATGTATTATGCCATTTTTTGAAAAATATCCCCATAGGATTTCATTAAAGTATTCTCTACCATTATCACTCCTAAACACCTTTATTTTTTCTTGAAATTGTGTTTCAATCATTGCATAGAATACCTGAAAAATCTCTTTTACTTCGGACTTGTCCCTTAATAAATATATCCAAGTGAGTCGTGTGTGGTCATCTATAAAGTAAAGCTAACAAACCATTTTTTTCCATACATTGTTGAGGCCCTAGATGGCCCCCAAACATCACTATGAATTAGCAGAAACGGTTTTGATGCTTGATATGGTCTAGGAGGAAAGAAAGAACAATGGTGCTTAGCTAGTTCACAAATCTCACATTTAAATGAAGATGGACTTTTATTTCTAAATAAATCAGGTAGCAAATGTTTTAAGTAATAAAAACTTGGATGCCCTAATCTATAATGCCAAAGCATAACATCATTAGAAACGAAAATAGAGTTTAAATAGGAACTTTGAACTTGGTGTCCTAAGTCGGTTCCATCTTCAAGAAAATAGAGACCTCCACTTTTCCTAGCACTGCCAATTGTCCTCCCCGAGACCATGTCCTGAAACTCACACCAAGAGGAGTAAAAAATAACACGACAATTAAGGGAATTTTTTATCTAACTAATAGACACAAGGTTACAAGAGAGTTTAGGAACATGAAGTACATCATGCAAGATTATAGAATTGGAAATTTTAACTGTTCCTGTTCCAGCAATTGCGGAGAGGGAACCATCAGCTATTCTAATTTTTTTATTCCCTGCACATGGGGTATAAGTTGAAAAAAATTGGGAGCAACCTGTCATGTGATCAGTGGCTCTAGAACCTATGATCCAGGAGCTGTTTTGTTTAGGGTTGACACTGATAAAGGCTGAGACAAGATTACCTGTTTGGACAAAGGAACATGAAGGGGTTGACTGGTTTACTTGGAATTGTGAAGACTGAAAAAACTTGTGCAGTTGCTCTAATTGCTCCTTCGTGAAAGGCAGCCCCTTCAGGAGTACTTTGCTGTCCCTGATCTTCACTGGTTGCCTGAGCCAAGAAACCTCTGTTATCAGCATTCTTCTTCTTCCAGTTCTTCCAGCAGTTTTCACGTATATGCCAGTGCTTCTTGCAATGATCACACCAAGGCTTCTTTTTCCTGTCATTTTCCGATTCATTCCTCATTGACACAAGGGCAGAATTGTCAGTCACAGTAGTTACAGGTTTGTTATCTTCTTCGGTTTTCAATATGACCTTCCTCCTAGTCTCCTCTCTCCTAATTTCAGAAAAGGCCTCCCGAAGAGTTGGTAGAGGGTTTTTTCCAAGGATCCTAAACCTAATCTCATCAAAGACTCGATCCAAACCAGCCAAAAAGAGGTACACTCGATCACTCTCTTCTTTTTTCATGAATCTCACGCTATCAGTTGGGCAGTCCCACTCATCATTGTAACATTGATCTAACTCTTGCCATAGGGAAACCATCTCATTATAATAAACTGTAACCTCACGCTCACTCTGTTTGGATTTCCACAACTTGGTTTTCAATTCAAAGATTTGTGAGGAATTTTCAAGATCAGAATAAGTCTCTCTAACCGCATCCCATACATCGAGAGTCAATGAAAGATAAAGGTAGGGTTTACCTATGGTTGGTTCCATAGATTTGATCAGCCAGGCAGTAACTAGGGAGTTTTCTGATCTCCATGCTTTCAGTTTCGGATCTCCATCTCCAGGTTTCTTCACTTCTCCATTCAGATGACCAAGTTTCCCTCTTCCATCTATGGCCCGCTTCAACGATTGTGCCCATTCTAGGTAGTTTTTCCCGTTCAATTTGTGGAGAGTCAATTGGAATGAAAAATGAGTGGAGTCTCCCCCTTGAGCCATGGTGGTTCGATCTGGTTAACCATGATTAGGGCCTTCTGCCCTAGACGATGCCGAGGATCTTCCTTCTTCTGTAATGGCTGTTTCAGCCATCAATTGAGGAGATTATTAGGCTATGATACCATGTAGGTTTCAGGGCAGAAAAGAAAGTATTTCTCATTGATTATTTTCTGTACAAGGGTAATATTTATAGGAAAAACCTCCCGCGGAATAGGGAAAGTAAATCCCTTGATTGAGGGAGATCCTTATCTCAAGGAATCTCTTTAAAAATTGAAAGAATAAACTACTTTCTTAATTTATCTCTATGCCCTTATTAACCGGATTGGTACATATCCGGCCCATGACTTTAGTCTACTTTCCTAATTTCTATAGTTTATGTTATTTAATCCAAACGACAGAAACTTTCAATTGGCAATGTCTTAGTAACTTGTTGATCATGTTAATAAGCTATATCAAAGTAGCGTCTTTATGATATTTGTTATAGTCCAATTGCCAGTTAATATCTGATGGTACATGGTAGCAGGAAACTCCTTTCTTTATGATATTTGTTATAGTCCAATTGCCAGTTAATATCTGATGGTACATGGTAGCAGGAAACTCCTTTTGTTATAGTCGATATCTTTCACCCTTTAAGAAATCTACAGAGCTTCATTTGTGGCACCCCCAGTGTGGAACTATCTCTTTATTTTCTTTAGTGACTGAGATCATTCTGACACTCAAGGACAAACTCATTGACTAATAAATATCTAAAATGGAACTCTTTCTACTCTTTTGACGAAGGTTTCAAATTTTTGATCAGATCACAAATAACCTTGAGCAAAGGTGTTACAAGGAATTGAGAAGTGAGAATTTTCCATCTGCCAAAATTGTCATTTGCATTTACAGGAAATTGTTGGTTTCTTGCAAGGAGCAAATGTGAGTCAGTACTTTTTTCAATTGTAATTTCTCATTGTTTTCCATTTGCATTTGAAGTTTCTGCAATTGTAATTTCTCATTGTTTCATTTTTTGTCCCAGAAATTTGTTACATCATAAGTCACCGTTTCCATTCTTTTTTTTTTTGTTTATTTTTCCTCCAGTTATTATTATTATTGATTTTAATAAAAGGTCAATGGGGCAATATATGGTTATTCTAGATTTAGCCTTTTAAATATGAAACTGAGACATTTTACGCCAGTGAGGCAAGGCGTTGGCCTCATGTTAAAACACTAACAGATTTATAGAACTAAAGATACATAGTAATTCTAGAGTCGTAAATCTAATGGTATCCTAAAATTGAAAAATACACATAACAAAATAAGCACAAAGTCAAAGAGATCACTGGTCACTCCCGAAATCTGGAACTGCCTAACACATAGTGGTTACAACATTACTGTTGGTATGCATATTACTGTAACTAATACTATGCATGCAATAGTCAATATCAATTAAAGATTCGTCAATTTTTGTAAAGATTTAGATTATTACGTGTGCATATTAAGTAAAGATCTTTTCTAAGTATTGAGTAAAGATTCGTAAGAGAAGGGGACTTTGTAGAGTTTTCAAGTTTCCACATTTTTCACTATATATATATTGCCATTAGTTTTCTCAAGCCTAAACACTTGAGTATGGGACTTGCCATCCTTAAATAATCTCATTATTTTTGTACATTCTCTTAGAATTCTGCCACTCTTAATTTCGTTTATAAAGGAAGAAAGTGAGGGTCGAAATCTCTTAATATTTAAGAAGGGGCATAAATCTTTACACTTCGTCATGCCTGTGTAGATTTCCGTAAGAAAAGAGTCCCAAGGAACCTTTTAGAAATGGCCGAACGAAGAACTTTTAAGGGGCCCATAGGAGGAAAATTTGATGCCATGCCTCACTAGCCTTGAGGCGCATCTCGAGGCGTAAGCTTCGCACAATAATACCAGGCTAGAGGTACCTATATGGCCAAATATACTAAGATGATAGATATAGTTGATTCACATGTTGTTTAGTTTGGGCAGATAAAATAATCTGGTTATTTCTTCAGTGCTTAAAGTTTTTGTTTCTTGATTACTGTCACTTTTACTCTTTGGTATCTATAACAACCATTTCCAACCTGCATAGACGGTAGACCATATAAAATTCCTTATTGGAAATATGGTTGTACATCGTTTCATATGCTCATAAGTCAAAAAAGGCATACATTCTTCTATTTTTTCCAGGCCTCTCTTGGCTAGTAGCTTACTCAGTATCATGCATGCTCTGCTGGAACAAACACGGCAAGATGAAATGAGAATTATAGGTTGTCAGACACTTTTTGACTTTGTGAATAATCAGGTCAGTCCCTGATTGTTCTTTACAATATAATAAAATTTATTCATATTTTATACGATAACATTAATTTCAGGTTTTCAACCAAGGAAACATTCTGATGTGTTATACTGAATTTTGCAGGCAGACGGGAGTTACATGTTCAACTTAGAAGGCTTTATTCCAAAGCTCTGTCAATTAGCTCAAGAGGTGGGTGGAGATGAACGAGCAGATAATCTGCGTTCAGCTGGGCTGCAAACACTTTCTGCAATGGTACTTTTCGTACATGACTGATATTAACTGCAAGATTATACCAACATGTTTTTGGTCCTTAGGAAATTAAGAAACGAATTTAGTTTTGTGAATCATATTTTCTGAATCATATATCTTTCATTGAAGGAAATAAATAAGTGAAAACTTGAGCAAATTAACCACATTAGTTTTAGAGAACTGATGAAGTCCATGCTCCCTTTAAAATGATAACAGATTTTTTATTTTTTAAATCATACGTTTGGTGTTAATAAGTGATGCCTGGAAAAGAACTTGTTCAGTTATTAAATTTTTACGTGAATAATGGATGGAGACTGCATAATTAGCTCATATCATCTGATTTACTTGTCAATATCTTCAGTAATTACTTGAACATCCGATAGGTTCTTGCCTCTTATTAACATAGAAAAGAACATTTTAGTACTCTAAATATTTACCAGTCATGATTAGAATATTTATTAGTTCACCAGAGCCAAATTAAAACATTCGTCTAGCTCTCGAGCACTTAAATTATTTTCTATGGGATTAAGCTTAAGTGGCCTCTTTGCTTTTGCTTTCTCTTTAAAAGCATCAAATTGAATCTAGCTCCTATTAATGAAATTCTTCCAGTTATAACAAAGAGCCTCATATCTTTTTATTTTTGTTCAAGATAACGTTCTTTTTTCCTTTCACTACTTTTAGTTTCCCAGAACATTTTTCATGCATTCCACATGCAATTGAATGGTCTAATATTTTTGTAGGTTTGGTTTATGGGCGAAAATTCTCATATTTTGGTGGAGTTCGATAATGTAGGTATACTCAGACCTTTTGCATTTTTTACTTTTACCATTCCTTAGTTTCCAATATCTTGCATAAAGTTATAAGATGGAAAACAAATTTCAAACCAAAGTTGCCCCTTCACTATAATGTTATTCTTTTCTTTTATGACTTCTATTCGGTAGGCAATTTTATTACATTGCTTTATGATAACCAAGTATTTCTATAATCCTTTTAGCAGGTAACAATTTTGTTTTCTTAATTCCATAACAGGTTGTTTCAGTAGTATTAGAAAATTATGGAGGTCTAAAGGAAAAGACCGAGAATTTTGAAGGTTCACAAAATCGTTGGGTGGAGGAAGTGCTAAAAAATAAGGGACATGTTTCTCCTTCATCAGACATCACGATAAGGGTACCTTCTTGGAGGGCCATTTTGAACAACAAAGGCGAAGTGAATGTGACATCGTAATCTCTCTTGGATCAAAATTCTTTGAGTATTTCTGTGTGTCTGCACATTTGTTGATGTCTATGTCTGGAAACCTATGTGTACTTGGTCTTAAACCATTAGTTAATACTAACTTATTTTCCTGTTCTTTTCATAGGGAAGATGCCAGAAACCCGTGCTTTTGGTCCAGGGTTTGCCTCCATAACATGGCCAAGCTAGCAAAGGAGGCCACTACAATACGGCGTGTTTTGGAATCTTTGTTCCGTTACTTTGATAATGGAAATTTATGGTCTCCCAATAATGGGCTTGCCTTCCCAGTTCTCAAGGATATACAATTTTTAATGGATAGTTCTGGTAATTTATTTAGAACTTCCTATTCAGCAACTCCAACGTCCTTTCTGTTGTTTTATCCCTAGTTTGATTGTAAAATTTTTTTTTGCCAACTTATGGTTTGCAGGGCAAAATACGCATGTTTTGCTGTCCATCTTAGTCAAGCATTTAGATCATAAAAATGTTCTTAAGCAGCCCAACATGCAGCTGGATATTGTTCAAGTTACAACCTTCCTTGCTCAACAAGCAAAGGTGGAGCCTTCTGTGGCCATAATTGGTGCAGTAAGTGACATCATGAGACACCTTAGGAAGAGCATACACTGCTCACTTGATGATGAGAATCTGGGAGAGGATGTGATTAAGTGGAATAAAAGCTTTGGAGAAGTGGTGGATAAGTGCCTTGTACAGTTATCATATAAGGTCCAAATGCTGAAATGACTTTGACATCTGATATGCATATACATAGACACACACACACACACACACACACACACACATTTATATATATATATTGTTTTTGATACGGTGTAGAGCCTATGGCTCCCATTATATTTAACAGAAATGATATCACTAGCATTCGAACCTTGGATCATACACTCGTGCACCCAGCCACTTAAGCTAGCCTCAAGTGGGACTTTTACATCTAAAATGTGGATGAGCTTATAATACGAAGCCAGAAGTACTTTGTGCTTCTTCGGAAATTGCTTTCCTGTTTCTAGTACTTCAACAAGTCTATATAAGTTTCTAACTATGCTGCTGAAATTTTTTATAGTTATTAATATATCCACGGTTAAGTATTGATCTGCAATTGGCTGATAGGTTGGAGAAGCAGGCCCAATTCTTGACGTTATGGCTACCATGATGGAGAATATCTCAACTATCACTGTCATAGCTAGAACTACTATATCTGCAGTTTACCGTACTGCTCAAATCGTTGCCTCTTTACCGAATTTATCTTATCAAAACAAGGCAAGAAGTTAACATTGACTTCAGTTATTTTTATTTTCCCGCTCTTTCAGTCTTACAATGATAATGATCACTGACATTCATATTTGACTCAGGCATTTCCTGAGACTTTGTTCCATCAGCTACTTCCAGCTATGGTCCATCCGGACCATGAAACGAGAGTTGGTGCCCACCGTATTTTTTCTGTTGTTCTCGTGCCTTCTTCAGTTTTCCCTCGTTCATCCCCATCTATTCTTGAGTCAAAGAAGGGCATGGATCTGCCAAGGACATTATCCAGAACCGTCTCTGTCTTTTCATCTTCAGCTGCACTTTTTGAGAAGCTAAGGAAGGAGAAATTTTTGTCACAGGAAAATGTTTTTGAAGATGCTCAAGAAAATTTTTTCAGCTTTGATGAATCGAGAGATACTAATATTATGTCTTTGAAGACACTGAACTCTTCTTACAGTCGGGCGTATAGTATGAAAAATTTGCCTGAGCCTTTGATGACAGAAGAAGAATGTACAACCATTTCAACCAAGGAACCAGTGAGTTTGAACCTCTCTCTCTCTCTGTCTCCCCACCCCCCGTAGACAAATTTTTGCTGTGTACTTTACCATTTCAGATATCTGTATCACGATCTTTAAACCATAACCCAGTTGTATTTCCAATTTGAAACCCCATTAACTTTGTAAGTTTGACAGGTTTGACATCTTTAAGGCATGATTCTACCTTCAAGTAATAACTAAATAAAGATGTATTAATCACCACTAGTAACAATACTAAAAACTATGACTTTGGCCTCTACATTTTGTGGATTTATCTCAAATGATTTGTCAATTAATCTTCACTATTGCCATGACTTGATAGTTGTATTGTATGGTAAGTTTTCAAGCTTGGATGGAAGAAGACTCATTGCTGGCAGAATCATGCCGCCAAAAATTTAAAGATCCAAACTGGTTTTAATCTGCTTTATGTTCTCTCTCTCTCTCTCTTAAATATATATATTTTTTTTATGCATGTCCAATTTCAGGAGGCTAATTCCTTGAGGCTGAGCAGCCACCAGATAACTCTCTTGCTATCGTCAATTTGGGCACAGTCCATATCTCCCGCAAACATGCCCGAGAACTATGAAGCAATTGCTCATACTTATAGCCTTGTGTTGCTGTTTTCCCGAGCCAAGGTAATTGTTCTTTTTGAAGGCTACACCATAAGGTTTTTCTCATTACATAAGCTGTTGACAATGATGCTTCAATAGTAACGTAGTTCATAATTTACCTTTCTATATTAATCGAGTTATTATTTTTACTTTTGTAGTCTTTTTATCTAATCATATTATATCTGTATAACAGAATTCTAGTCATGAGGTTCTAGTGCGTAGCTTTCAGCTAGCATTTTCCTTGCGGAGTATTTCTCTTAATGATGGAGGTGAGCTTTGAAAAACTCATTTGAACAATGTTAATATTGAGGATTATATATGCTTATTCTTTCATTCATTCCTTCATTATTGATGAAATTAGATGAACATTACATAATCGGTCTTCTTACTGCTAAGACACCTAATTCCTAACAAGCTTATAAGCTACATATCTTCTTGTACTTCCAGCCAAGTAAGTTAAGGCAGTTGTTGTTGAGTTAAACACACGGTAGTAAAATAATGGGCAGAAGATGGAGGGCCTATTTTTTGACTAACTATAAACTATAATGCTTAATATGCATTGACACTGTTATGAATTAGTTTGTGTCTTAAGAGAGCTGGTAGTTATGAATTCGTAGCTAAAGTCAAACTGGAGCTAGTAACCTTTTGTGTCTTTCTATGGAAGCATTTATAGAACCATTATTAAGATGCGATTTGTTTGAGATATAGGACCAGGGTAGTGAAGAAATTCTTGTGTCAGATGCATATTATCAAAATTGGCTATTCCGTGACCAATTTGACACACACACACACACCCACACATGAGGGAAACAAGTAGACCATAGAATTGCTTCATCTTAAATAAAATGAACTTTTGATATTTAATTTTGTATGAGCAATGGTCGAAGAGACTTCACAGTCTAAAGGATAAAACTTTGTCAAAAGAATATTTGGTATAATGAAAAAGTTTCAGGCTGTCAAAGTGCGAGCATACGGGTTTAATTCAGTGGTTATGAGGGAATGAATTTTATTCCATACATTGGAGCCAAAGAGTACACGATTATATAATAAAGAGGCTGAAAACCTTACTCCACTAATCAAGGAATACAAATGTCAAAGCTGCCTAAAATACTCACATAAAATAAGGAAACTAATTAAAAATGAGATTGGATAATTTGCTACCCAAATCTCCTTATTCTAAGGAAATAAAAACAAATCAGCTAACACATCTCTGAAAATCAGGGAAATAATCAAAGATTTCCATACTCCCCCCTCAAGTTGGGGTGTAAATATTGATTAAGCCCAACTTGCTGTTTAGTTCTTCGAAATTGCTTCTTGGTAAGGCTTTAGTGAGAATGTTTGCTATTTGGAGACATGTTGGTGTGTACAGCAACTTGATTATCCCTTCTTCTATTTTTTCCTTTATGAAATAACAATCTATCTCCACATGCTTTGTTCTGTCGTGGTGCACTGAGTTTTTTGCAATACTAATAGCAGAGCAGACTGGTTGTCACAGAAATCTTCATAGGCTCCTCAATAGAGATTTTCAGTTCTCTCAATAGTCTCCTCAGCCATATTCCTTCACACATGCCGTGTGCCATGGCTCTAAACTTAGCTTCAATGCTACTCCTTGAAACAATAGATTGCTTTTTGCTTCGCCATGTGACTAGATTTCCCCACACATAAGTGTAGTTCCAGAAGTTGATCGTCGATCAGTTACAGATCTAGCCCAATCAGCATCTTAAAGATTTCTATATCTCGACTTGATTGCCCGGTGCCATCTTTAGATATCTTAGAATTCTATACACTGCCTCCATCTGTGTTTCACTTGGATTATTCATGAGCGGGCTTATGAAACATCCAATTTGAACTTTTAATTATGTGAGAGAGATATATAAGCTTTCCAACTAGTCTTTGGTATCTTCCTTTGTCAACAAGCACACTCCATTTTTCATTCCTAGCTTAGTTGTTGAGTCCATTGGAGTATCTGCAGACTTGCATCTGAGCATTCCTGTTTCCTTGAGATAAGGTCTAGAATATACTTCCGCTGAGCAATTGACATGCCTTTTCTAGACCTTGCTACTTCCATAGCGAGGAAGTATTTGAGATTTCCCAGATCTTTAATCTCAAATTCTTTGGCTAGAAGCTCTTAAGTTTGCTCACTTCCTCCTCATGATCCCCTATTAGGATGATATCGTCTATGTACACAATCAAGATAGTCATTTTTCGTTGAGGAGCATGCTTGACAAACAAGGTGTGATCTTCCTGGCACTGAGAATGGAAGGTCTGTGGCCAACATAAAACCGTGGAGTATCTATGCTCAAATAGTTGGATAGGTATTGAAGGACTTGCACTAAATCTATGGAATTATCACACTTTAAAAGTGATCGGAGAAGCATGTGGGGGTTTGTTAGAAATCCCTAATGAAACGTTGAATCAAACGTTCCTTAGATACACATTAAAATCCGAGGTTTTCCTCAAGGGTTTATGGAGCCTATAATAGAACTTCCATACCATGGTGAAATAATTCATTTAGGTATGTTTAATTTGGGGCACAATTCGTAGGGTGGTGGGGCTACAGGTGTCACGACTCCTCACGGACCGTCACAGTTATCTTGACTTTCAAACATTTACTTCTTAAAAAATGCGGAAAATCGTTAAACTTGAAATACTTTACTTTGAACGACTTAAAGAGCCAGCGGGTGGGACTAGAGAAGATGAAGGTTGTGTTTGGTATGAGGGTTTTAGAACCGGAGTCCATGATTCTGGTTCCGACCTTTATTTGTTTGCAAAAAAGTAAAAAATGGTTCTTAAAAGTTAGTGTTTGGTTTATATGGTTCTGGTTCAAGGTTTGGACCTTAATGTGATGTTTTAAACCAAAACCACCCTAAAAATAAAATCACCCCCCTCTTGATTTTAGATGATTTAAACCCATGGTTCTGATTCCGGTTCCAGAATCATGGTTTGGACCACAAGTTCAAACTATGAATCATGATTCCTGGTTCTAAAATCAAAACCACATTGATTTGAACTCTCATACCAAACGCAACCGAAGTGTCTGAGAGTCATAGGAATATCTTGGATAGTGCTGAAACTTTGGACGGGCTGCCCGTGATTACCGAAAAGTCTAAAGTTTTGCCCGAGTACCGCACCCGAACTACCCGAAAATTCAGGTTGCCCGACCCGACCCGAAAATTGCCCATGGACGGGCTTCGGGCAGGGAGTGCCTGCCCATGCCCGGTCGGGCTGCCCGATGCCCGACCGGCTACCCGAATTTTCAAAATTTTTTTATATTATATTTTTATGTTGTATATTACAATTTGAAATTTGAAATGAACACACGAACTATATAAAAAAAATATTTCTTCATTGATTTTTAAATTGGTAATTCATGATTGCCTCGTTAAAAACCTTACCAAGAAAAACCCAATTGGGATAAAAACTTGGTAAGGAAAAAAGAGTGCAATCATTGTGGGACGAATTACAAATTTGACAAACTTACAAAGTCTATACAAGATTACAATAACACTATACAAATTAGAAATTACAAAGTAAATAAATATTTACAAATTAGAATAATAAAATTTAATTTGAAGCAGAAGGATCGTCTTGAAAATTAAAAGTTAATCTATTAAATTCGTCGATCCATTCTTGGTTTGCCGGTGAGATTGTTGGTCGGAACGATCCTAATCCTTGATGCACACCAAAGCTTCAATAATATCCTGCTGCAATGCGTTTCTCCGTTCGGTTGCAACAGTGGAGACCGGGATCGAAAAAATATCCATTGCCAGTTGTATTAGGATCGGCCAATTTAATGTTCGTGCTCTCCACCAATCAACCAAATCAAACATTTCACTACTGTCTATAACTAAGTCCTTACTCAGGTAGGCCATTAATTCGTTGAATCCGCCGCCACCTCTTGATGAAGATCCACTCCTAGATTCTTCTTGACCTTGAGTTGTCGTCGTCGTCTTCTTCTTCTTAGACAACCCGAAAACATTTAGGAATGAATGCGGATTGTCGTCTCGTTGTTGCGGTTGTTCAACACGAGGTGTGTTTCTAAACCTACTTTCGTAAGAGATATATAGAGAATATATTTTTTCCTTTATAATAGAAAATTAGTCAGTAGTGTCGATAGCTAAAAATCCACCTAAGTTATCTAATCCACTTTCTAAACCTTCTAATTTTAATCTAGAGTAAAAAATGACACCGAAACCATACAATATGGGTAATTTAGACCAATATTTTTTAAACTTCTTTTCCATAGAGGCGATAGGAACTCCTAAAATCCCGTATGTCCTAAATTCACTAAATAAAATAGACATTCTTAAAAGTTCTCCTAACGCTAATGGTGAAGTTGGGTAATAAGTTCCACTAAGCTTTAAGGTAACTTCGTGAAATCTACCTAAAAAGTTATACAAGAGTTCGGCAATTTGCCAATCAGTTTTATCAATAAATCCTGGTCCTAATTTTGCACTAACATAATTTGTTATAGCATTTTTATAGGGGATGCATTGTTCAAGCATTATGTAAGTGGAGTTCCATCTTATGGGCATATCTAAGGCTAATGCTCTAGGGTTTTGATTACATGCTTGTAGAAATATAAACCAATCTTGTATTCTTTGTTTACTACCTTGAATCCAAGCAATGTTATCTCTAATTCTTTTAATATGATCTGCCATTGATTTTAAACCGGACTTTATTATTAAATTAATTATATGACATGCACAACGTTGGTGAAATATATCATTATTACCGAATAAACTTAAATCATTTTCAAAAAGTTCTATTGTTTTAGTATTTGTAGTTGCATTATCTAATGTTATGGCCATCATTCTATCTCTTAAACTATATTCATCAATAACAGATAAAATTGTGTTATATATTAAATTGGCAGTATGTGATCTTCTAACACATTTGAAACTTAAGATTTTCTTATCCAAATCAAAACCTTTATAATAATGTCCGGTTACAGCTAAATAATTTTTGTTGGCAACGGCGGACCAAATATCCGTCGTTAACGCAACGCAACCGCTAGTAGAGTGTAGAAGGTTGATTAATGTTTCATTTTCTTGTTTATATAATTTTAATGCATCTTTCCTAAGAGTAGTTCTAGAAAAAAATTGTGCATTAGGATTATGTACAATTTTAATATAACGCTGCCAATTTCTTTGTTCAGTAAAACTTAGTGGTTGATCTAATGTGGCTATTAATCGTGCCATTTCCATACGATCAACTTGCACATTGTATTTCCACGTGCTTAGACCACCAGTTTAGCAGTCAAACGATA